AGGACTCCCTTATTTAATCCTTACCACAATCCTAAAAGATGGATACTAACCACTATTCCAGATGAAGAAATTAAGATACAGAGAGACAAAGTATCATGCCCGAAATTCCTACAGCAGCGGAGCGGTCCAGCAGGGGACTGACAGTACGTTCACACTCTACAGAAGTGCTGCTCCCATCCCTGACACAGTCTCTGGCACTGCAAACCAGGAGACAACAGGGCAAGCACAAACCAGTTTTGTTGACATTCTCCTTCCCCAGGTGATGAGGATGATGAGCCTGGTAACCTAAGTGTCTCTGAAACAGAATTCAAAGCCATCAGCTTATCAATGTAAATGGCTTTAAGGCCACTGAGGAAATAAAAACAGCAATGGTGGGCGCCTGGGTGGCTCAGTTGGTTAAGCGACTGCCTTCGGCTCAGGTCATGATCCTGGAGTCCCGGGATCGAGTCCAGCATCGGGCTCCCTGCTCAGCAGGGGGTCTGCTTCTCCCTCTGACCCTACCCCCCTCATGCTCTATCTCATTCTCTCTCTCAAATAAATAAATAAAATCTTAAAAAAAAAAAACAAACAGCAATGGTTGTTCATCTCTGTTGAACTCTATGTGCCAGGCACTGTGCGAGGCACCCAATAAGCATTACCTCACTGGATCCCCCAACGGTCCTTTAAGGGAGAGACGGCCATTGCCATCACTTGATACATGAGACAACGGAGGTTAAGAGGTCAATTACGGTTCCCAAGATCGCATAAGCAGGAAGGAGGGGAGCCAGCGCCCAGAGCCCACGTTCTCACCACTATGCTTCACTGCCTCTCTGTAGAGGTGCAGCAGCAGCTACAGGCTAACCCAAGCCTCTGCCTGCAACCGTGCCAGGGCTATCGCCTTTCCTGCCTCCTCCCTGAGCATTCTGCCACGGGGACTGATACATACATGATATCCTGCATCCATCCCTCATGTCGCTCTGAGGCCTGGACACAAAGCATTGTTTGTGAGGCTTGGAAAGGAAAGTCTTCATTTATCAAACAGGAGAAGCACCATCGACCAGATGTGACCTGGCGCCTGCTACCAGCCATGGCGCAGAAGAGGGGCAGCAGAAATGTCTCCTGAAACGAACTGAGGTTGAAAGAATGAAAGGAAACAGCCACTGTGTAATCTGGCCACGTTTCGGTACTTCCTAGCTGCCAGCTAACGAGATCATTCTCTCCAAGAAGAAACTAGGTCTATGCCAATAGCCTTGGCTATCCTGCTAACTTACCACTAGCCTCAAATTAATGTTTGCTTAAATGAGAGAAAGAATATAAAAAGGCAGAAGGAGGGGTAAGAATCACGATCAACTATAAACTTGTCACTTTAGAAGGAAGGAGGACTCTTTAAGGGGACGAGGTTACCATTTAACACACCGCAAGGGCATCCTGGTAGAGCAGGAAGACCAGAATGAGGTCTTTCCCCAAAATAACTTTTTTTCAAATGAGAACACTAGGTTATAATTTATATTTCCTTTTGTGCAACAAATTTGAGTGTCATAAAAATGGTTAAAAAGTCTTCCTATGGTAGCTTTTTCTAAACTTTTATGAACATCTGCCACATTCATTTGAAGTTTAAAAAATTCTGGCACATATGCAAAGGCATAATAAGGTGCCTATAGCTTTCAAGAAAAAATAACAAGACAGTCAAAAATAAGCTTTTTGCTGAATTGCCAGTAAGAAAACTAGTGTGCGAGATGAGATGGGCCTTCCCGAGCTCCCTCCTTAAAGAGCTTTCCTTTGGCCCCAGGTACGAGCTCCTCCCCGAGCATTACAGCCCATAGTTCCTGGAAGAAATCTCAGGAAAGCATTTCTCTCCCTTGAAGGGTATAATAGAACCAGATAAACCCAATCAAAAGGAATGACTAGAGCACTTGGAGTCTGAGCTGAAACCCACGCGAGGAGATAGACTCAATCCCATGATTGGGTAATTCATGGCTGCCCAACACACCCAGGAAAAGACGACTTTGTCTGGAAAGTGGCTTGGCTGGCCTCAAGAATGGGGCGACAACTATTTCTGTTTTTCTTTTAGTGCTGACCACACAGGAGTTCAGCATGGCAAACCCCTCCCCAAGTTCAAACAGGTCTAAGATTTATCTTGCCTGGTGCTTCCTGAACCTTCTAAGCCCTTCAAAGGCTGAGGAGAGTAGACTTGCCCCCATTTACCTAAACGCAAAACTGTGTCAAATTTTAGCTTCAAAATTTATGTATATTTTGCACTGCATGTTTTACTACCAAAGGCCTTTTCAAAAATGCCTTATAATCATATAAAAAGTCAAAAATTTACTCCATCTTTAAGTAAAATTATAGTGCTGGGTTCCCTGGAAATTGTGATGCCTATTGGAGGCTCTAAATGTGTTCCGGATTCCAGTTTTCCAAGCAGGCACTCAATCCTTTTCAGAAAACACCTGCTCGGCGTCCTGCTAAGTGCTGAGGACACCACGCGAACGAAGCACAGTCTTTGTTTTCAAAGAACTCATACTCCTAGGGATGACAGAGAGGACAGAGAAGCAGACAGCTATCATCCAGAGCAAGAGGTACAGGAAGTGAAAGATGACAACTGGGGGACTTTTGGGAAGAACTGGAGAAGGGCAGGCTTAGCCACGGGGGTGTTGGGGGGGCGTGTGTGTTTAGGGATCACTGAGCACTTGCCAGCAAGGGACAGTGAGGGGACATGAGGCACAACAGTGGCGGAGACTGAGCAGATGTGGGGAGGGCAGAGAGAGGTGGGCCGTAGAGGTGCAGGGACCAGGCAGAAGGCACTCCTCCAGATGTCGGGACTGTGCCCTGAATTTCATCTCCATCTTCATCCCTCCACAGCCTAGCAAATGTCTGGAACACAGAGGCCTGCATTTTGCTTAACAAATGAATGAGGAAGGCTTCATAAGAATCCAAGAGAGCAAAGAAAAAAGGTCAATGAAGGCAGTGAGGAAGGAACAGGGTGAGAGTCCAGTCAGAGACGCGGTGGCTACTTAGAGAGAAAGAACTGAAGAAGAGGAGCCCTCAGCCATGCTCCGCATGTCCCACCTTGGTGCCTTCTCAGGCAGCGGTGCCACTCACAGGGATGGGGAGCACTGGAAGGCCGTGCGTGCGTGCGTGTGTGTGTGTGTAATGCATTGTTTGGGGAAGTCTGAGTTTGAGCCATCTGTAGTACATTAGGTGACAGTCAACTGGCACTTGAAACTTTGCATCTGAAGTCCACAAAAAGGGACGCCAGTGTTAGAATCACAGCCGAGAGTCACTGACATTACCTTGGTAGCTGAAGCAAAAAGCCTTACTCGAGAAGACTAGAGGGCATGTGGAGAAGAAAAGCAAGCTAAGACTAGAAACGTGGACAATGCTAAAGGTAAAGACACATGAAAAGGAGTCTGAAAAAGCCCGTGCCGGAACACTCTGGAAGGCAGGAGGAGGGGCAGGAAAGAGCTGTGGACTCTGATAGACCAAATGGTCTTTAGATTCGTGTTTCAAACTCTGCAAGAACAGGCATGAAAGGTCAATGAGAAAGGATTCGCTTCCAATTTTTCACACAGGAGCTTTGAATACACCCCTAAACTTGACAAACAAAGGTAAAACACAGAAGAAATCTCTTCAATCTGATCTAAATACACCATCCAAGATAGTCCATAAACTGTGTACTGTATGTGCTCAGGGCTGGGTGATGACAAGGAGGAACTGTTAACAGAATGTAGGAGCCACATGGCCGTCCTGTCAAATTAGAAATTTGAGCAGATTTCTGTGGTCTATTTTGATCAAGATTCTCAATGTCAAACAAACAGGTTTTTCGATAACCAACTTGTTTCATTTTCGTAAGCACAATAGCACAGCGTGCAACAGTTAGTGAAGAAGCAGGTGGTCCTCGTCGACGTGAAATGAAGGGAACAGAAGAAGAGAAGTAGCACTTCCTTTAAGACATGCAAAGCATCATCACAGACGGACATGGCTCTAGATTTTCCCTCTGAGAGCGTATCTCCTGTGCAAAACAGGCAAGCCCCCCACCTCCCACCCCGTTTTGCTCTAGTACAAATTTAAACTCTCTCTTGAGGAGGGAAAAGCTTAAGGTTCATGTCTACGAACCAATGGCACTTACAAAAGCACAGAAAAGTCCTTTAAAAGAACTGCTATCTAATTGGTACAGCCATGCAGAAAGCAATCTGGCACCAGATTCATAGCTTTGACCAAGCATTTCTACTTTGGGGGTTCTGTGCTAAGGAAATAAGTCAAAATGCAGATAAAGCCTTATGCATAAAGATGTTCACTGAAATGCTATTTATAATAGCGGAAAAGGATAAACAACCTAAGTGTCCAACAATAATAGGAAAATGGTTAAGTTGTGGTATATCCAAACAGTGGGCTCACAGGCAACAAATTAAAAATTATTATTACTGCGAGTAGATTAAAAACAGGTAGACATCCCCATGCCATAATGTTAAGTGAAACAGACATAAAATTATACACACACACACACCAGTTATGCACATTCATACAAAATATATATTCACAGAATATAGACTAGGAGGAAGAATAATGAAATGCTAACAGTAGTTGAATCTGGAAATAATGGTATTGTGGATAATTTTAACTTTCTTTTTTGTACTTCCTTATACCACATGCTCTACAATGAAAACGTAACACTGTTACAGTGATTTAGAATAAACATCATTTTGAAAAGCAAGCAATTTCCCTTCCCTCATTCAAACCCTTAAAGAACCCCTTCCTCCTGCCTCTTTGAACCTCACTCCCTCACCCATGAAAATTGACAATCTCCAAGCAAAGTGGAAAAACACTGGAAACCAGAGCCCAGTGGAAAGGGTCTCCGCTGAACGCTCAGCTCTGTGCACCTGGGAGGGGGCTGCGTATGAAGTGTTGCTTTGACATGCTCCCATGTGCAGAGCTGTGAATCCAGAGACTGTGTCTTTTCCACTGCCACATAGCAAAACAAAGCTGCAAGTAGAGAGATCTGGGGAGGAAAGGCGCCAACTTACCTCCATTAAACTTAAATGGATTCCTATGAGGTAGGGCATGGGAGCACTGTGAAGAGAAACAGAGACACACAGCTGCTTTAATGTCTGTTGCTTCCGACAGAAAATTACAGATGGTTCACTATTTGGAGAAAAACTGTTTTAATAAACGTATGCACAGTTACATTTCCTTTCACAACAAAAATCCTAAATGTGACATTTTGTTCCCAAGCCTAGAAACTTCTGGAGAATTTCAAAATGTGGGCAGCCTGAGAAGCAGCATGGGTGGTGGGAAGAGCACCGACCTTGGCGTTAATCCCTCAGGAGCAGCTCTGTGACTACACAGCCTCAGTTGCCTTATCTTTAAAATGGGATACTGGAATCAAACTGGCAGCTCATGATCAGAACAAGAGAGAAAACACGTCAAATGATTAGTATAGTTTCTGGCACAAAAGGAAACTATTATTGCCACAATTACGACAGAAAAAGCAGTTAACAAGGTTGAATGGAAGGCATGATGCGTTTCGGCGAAAAATGATTGTTTTATTTGCTGTTTCCTTCTGCCATCCAGAGATGTGATCTAACTGTCCATTCTGACTGGCCTAAGTACGTGAGGAACTTCGAGCAAGCCTTCCCCCACCAAGTGCACACATGCCATCCAATGACAGCACAGTTCACAAAGCCCCTTTCAACTGCTTCATTCACAGGGAGGGCAATGGTTCCCTAAGTCAGTGACTGAGCAGGAGTAGAGAACCCAACTCCAAAGCTCTTAAAACCTGGGCATTATGTACTGATTTCCTTTAGTTTCAGGAGTGTGTGTGTGTGTGTGTGTGTGTGCTCACACACATTATCATTTATGATGCTACTTACCGATAAATGGGTTAAGCATTAAATGAGGAAATTCAAATTCATCTTTCCTAATCCACGCAACAATGGCATAAGGTAGGCGTTATCCCCATTTTACAGAGGAGAGAACAGCCCCAGAGAGCTTAAATCCCTCCTCTAAAGCCATAAAACAAAGGAAGCAGCAAACATGGGAGGACTCTGAAGTTTCTTCTTCTGGGCCATGCGGACTTCATAATACTGAACCTAAAATCCCTGGGCCCACCTCCCATCAATGGGACAGTAGGGGAGAGAGGTCAAGAAGTAGGAGGAAGAGAGTGAGCGGGCACCTTTTCCCCAGGTCTCTCCAGTACGTAACACATCCTATGAAAGGTGCAAGAGTTATTCTGTGAGCGTAGAGCAAAGATACCTGGCTCTGATCAAGGTGACCAGGCACCTTTCCTCTGGGGCAGCCAGGAGACTGCAAGTGGATCTGCAAGGATGGCTTTTCTTGGGAACAGGGTGGGGGGAGCCAGAGGGGTAAGAAGTGAGAACACAGAGGTGTGCTTTCACTTGAATACTAAGGAGTTTAGGCTTTATCCTGAAAGCAATGGGTAGGGAATGAAGGTTTTTAAACGTCAGATGTGCATTTTAAAATTGCTCAAACATTTAAAAATAAGAGAGGGCACAATTCCCTCATCACCATTCAACAAATAAAATTCTTCAAGCAAAAATCCTTTCCCAGAATATAAAATGTCCTCCTTACTACAGATCTCAGCAGTAACATATCTTGGGAGCCTGTAAAACAGACTTGAATATTAGCAGCACAGTTTGGGAACTATTCTTCTAGAAGACTTTTGTATTTGATAATAGCCAAAGAAAGAATTATACACACAACTGCAGTGAAAGTGGAGTTGTCTTGTCTTTGCTTTCTTCTTCTTCCTCTCTCCTTTTTTAAAAAAAGATATCTGCTGTGCACATTCAGCTTCTCTTCGCTTCTAGGGGCAAGGAAATGCCCTATGATATTTTTTTCGCTTAAACTGTAAACCATTAGTTTAGCTGCCAGCCAAACAAATGCTCAAACTTCCCAGTGTGCCGGGCTCTGCTGTCCAAGCTTTTTCCAGTGTACACTGAAATGAATGTGTTTCTAATTAAGTAGCTTCAGGAACACGACAGCTTCAATGTCAAAAATACAAAGTCTGAACCCTGGCAGGAAGTCTTAAGACTGCAAATGTCTCATCTAGTGGAACCTTGCCTAATGTAATGAAAGGAAGCAGGAAGAGTGCAGAATTCCAGAAAAATGGCCACTTATTAATTTGTCCAGAAGCACAGCCTAACACAGAGAAGGGAGAAAAACTCCAATCCATAATATTTAACCAAATCTCATCAACTTTTCCAGCTCCTACGTTTAATCATGCAAATGACAAAGGATGTGGAGTTTTAATTAGAATTTCAGAACTGAAATTCCAGCAAATGAGTTAATGTACAGAAAAAGACCATTCAAACAAGTGTGAGAAAGAGGTGAAAATAAATACTGCAAAAGTCTCTGTTATAACTAAAGGCTCTTACCTGAAAAAGAAATGTTTTCTAGAATTTTAAATATGTAGGTTTTAATGCCATGCCCTTTTGTCCTGCAATAAAAATCAGTGATACTCTGAAAGAGAGGAAAAGGAGTCTTGCAGAAGTGACTACAGATGCAAAATGGGACAAAGTGGGACTCACCCTTCAGGTATCATTAGGTAGGCATTTTTTTTAAGCCCAATAATTTCCCAAAGAGTAATTATGGCCTATCATAGACGTGCAATTTCTTAGCCAAGTACTGTTAGGGCTGCAACAGCTCTGTATTTAGAAAATATTGAAAGCACATTTACTCTGAAATCACAGCAGCTCCATGTTTTGTATAAATGCAAATTTAGACAAATACCTTCTACACTGTCATCATTTGCTTACAAAGCCTCAAATACTTCCCTGAATTGACTGCATTTTGCTCTGCAAAGATACTAATTACAGATTCCAAGTGGGGAGAGGAAAATGGGGGAAAAAAGGAAACACAGAGTCTCCTTAACATCTCAATGTAGCAAATATGTAACTGGGTAATTCTAGGTGTGTTCTGAAAATTTCTATTCTCAGTAAACCTCAAAGTTATTGTAGCTACTGACTCACTTTCTTTGGAAACCTCTTTTCTTTGGCTTTTTATTGTAAAGAGAAATTTGGGGGAGGGGGATCATATCACCTTAACGCTACTTTTATTTTCATACTTTTCTTATCCAGTATTGGTCCACATTAACAAACATATTTATATCTTCGAAATTATAGAGTGCATACATATTTTATTGTTTTCTCATTGGCCACGTTAACATCTCCCATATTAGACTACAATCTTTGTGATTAAAGACTGTGTAACATTCCACCAGCTATGGATATGCCTTAATTTACTGCACCCTATTTCCAAAGTTAGATATTAAGTCGCTTCCGACTTTTCACTATAAGTCATGCAGTAATGAAAATGAACAACTTCATGCGCATGAATTCCCAATAATGGAATTACTAAATCAAGAGGCAGGGCTCTGTGTGTGTGTGTGTGTGTCTGGTTTTTTTTTTTTTTTTTTTACACCTTTTGTTATTTTTTGGCAAAGTGCTTCCTAAAAGGGCAGGGCTGGTGTGTGTGTGTGTGTGTGTGTGTGTG